AATGCACTTGCTCTAGACAGCATGCCAACATTTCTGCTGAAATAGCAGTGTGACGTCTGTGTGCACTTTAGTCCTTGTGGAAGAGGTTACACTTTCAGAGCTCCAGACAGAAAGAATTTTTGAAAAATGTTGTAAACTTATCTGAGTTAAGGTTAGAATTGCTGTAAGGTGGGGAAAAGTTCTCATTCTAGTTGTGAGGGTTAGAAACACAGGTAAGGAAATTGATTTCATCATCCTAAGTACAAGACGGTGTGCATTTTTATGTGTTCTGACTACAGCTGATGATCAAAATCTCTAACAAGACATCCCTGACAGAGGAACTGTAATTCAGTGAGCATCAAAGAAAGTCTACAAACGTGATGTTTAATGGATCATGAATCAGACCTTGGAGCAGTAGGTTGTCATACATCATTAACGGCGTTGAGCCCACAGGTGTGTCCTTAGGTGCAGGTGGTCTGAAATATGCATAAGAATTAGCAGCAGCACATCAGTTAATGCAGAGGTGAAGCTGCGCTCAAAGTCCGAGCCTCAACAAACTCAGCAGGCCTTCCTTCATACCTTGTCTTTGAACTCAGTCGGGCAGTGAGCTGGTCTAAATCCCTATATGGGGAATGTTTTCTTCATGTTTGAGGAGATTCCTTAGTCTCTGCTTTCAGGGTTTATTTTGGCTGCATTAAGCCATCACTCCATGTAAAATGCTAGGATTCAGATCCTTCCAATTAAAAACACCCTGGCTGAGATTTGATTTTATTGCCGTGATATAGAGAGCCAAAGTGAAAGCGGAACTTCCAGTTCATGTTCAGGAAAAAAAAGAAAAGCCACTTCAAATTCCCACTGAGGGTTCTAATTTGACTAATAACTAAACGGCCAGCTCTGGAACACAGCCGTTTTTAATCATCTGCTGTGAGCCTCATTACATTTGCTTAAACTATAATGATATATTTCTTTGAAATGACTCACTGTATTATTACATTAGTGTATTATATCAGCTTTTTACCAAGCTTTAACGAACATCATTCCCCTGGAACCCGGGCCTCTCGCGGGTACCGATGCTAACAGCACTATAACTAACGACACAAAGGAAAAGACATGTGAATGTCAGGCACTGTTGTTTTTTCAAGCTTAAACATTAAGATGCTGCTGCGATGTTATTCATTATGAGTACTCAGTGGATGTGTAGTCCACGTTTTAGAATGTGGTTGTTAGCATATGGGTTGATAAATTGGGATCAGCCTTTGCCAGCCTAAATACATTAGGCTCCATTTACATTTGGGAAATGTTCATTTGGCCACTGCCATGTGCATCTGCTGTAAGAGGCAGGGTGTCTATGTCTGTGTGTGCCCTGTGATGTTGAAATTATCTATCTACCATATGGGCACATGAGATAACACAGTGTGATATATTTCACAACATGATGTTGTTTTGCAAGGAATAACTCTGAAGTGAGGCCTTTATGCTTTACACATATTGTGTGTTCAACTTTGGGTCCTATACACACTGAAAATTGATACACTGCTAAGGAATTAGACAATTTCACATCATAGGCTTTAAATGACAACACTGACTGCCAGATGAACTGGGGCAGTTGTCCTAATAATAATGTTGATTGATCCCCTTTGTGTGGGTACTGAGTTAGATAAAGGACAATCAGTCTGTTGTGTGTTTGCAGATACAGATTTGTTCTTTCACACACACACACGCGCACGCACACACACACACACTGCTTAAACTGTACATCAGTGTAGAGGCTATTTATAATAACAGCCACATGCCCAAGAATACTTAAAGCAACAATTACTCTGTACATGGTTGAATTGTAATTACATGTTAGCAGTGTGCCCAGTGTTGTCTTATGTAACACACTCCTTGGCACAATGACCACAGCTCCCCGCCACCTGCTGCTATGTTCGAACACAGAGCCAAAAAGGCAGAAAGAGACAGAGTTTAATCAGATTATAGTAGGCTTGCTGCTTTAATTTTTAAATGGTATTTTACATTATATACTTTGATATGGCACAGTGATTTGTTGTATGTATTTGTAGTAATCAACATGTTCTTGAATGCATTATAGTGGGTTTTTTTGGCATTTGTCAGGGAAATTGCTCACAGTCTTCAAAGATCAGGATGTGTTTCAATAATTCCTGTGTGCCTATTTAAATGTAACCTGGACCATTGCTTTGTTTAACATTGTCGTGTCATATTGTTACAATACTAGTTTGGCAAAATATGCTTCTCTGAGCAGCACTTGCTTGGAGCAGTGTACGAATATGAGAGTGATATCAATCTGTTGATTTATTTTCTGCACCTGAAAGCCCTGTCCTCTTCTTTGTCCACCCTCTTTCAATTTTATTTCAGCTTTCAGTATGCACCTGTTTCTGCATATTTGAGATGTGAACACAATCAGAGGGACTGAAAAAAAACAACAACGCTAAGGGACCAAAATTGGAATGTGTTGTTGGTTTCATTATTTTTCTTGGCTCGACTAACGCTGCCAGTCTTGATCTTTAAAGTGGCCTTTTAGCTCTCACACCCCAGTAATAATTGACACTAAGAGTAGCTCCATGTATAATAATACTCTGCCATTAGTGCTTTTCAGGGTATCTAATGATAGTACTGCAGGTGACGGAACTGTACGTGACTTTAACAGGTACAACATAATGAGCTAATCGCAAAGTTTAGTGGCAGAGAGTTAGAAGAGGAGCTCACAAAGGAGAAGATGTGGACGTGGAGTGAGGATAAATAGCAAAAACATATGGAGAAAAACCCGACTGGTAAGAAGGCAGATAAATTAGATGACACGTGGAAAAGAAAAACGTACACCTGAGCTTAAGAGGCAGCATTGTTTCCTCTTGTTGTCAGCCCTTTATCCTGCCGATTGGATCTACTGTCTGTAGCTAGAGACAAAGACAGATTATATGAGATTATTCATGGCCACTATAACCTGGGCAAAGGCCACTTCTCTATCCTAGTCATTAGAGTGAATTTTCCAAAGACAACAATGAAAACAGCTGCTCATTCATCGGCCGCTGCTCTCAGGTAGACGGCAGATAGTGGCTGAACACAATGGCGGGTAGGAAGAACAGCACAATAGCTGGTTTGTGTACACACTGTCTGATCCCTGAGTGATCTGAGAGAGAAATAGGAAAAATGATAATGTTACTGCACTGTTGTTAGCCATCAGTGTGGTCAGAGTGGCACTCAGAGGTCCTCTGGAGTGGTACTCTGCTTTGGTGCTTTTCATCCAGCAGAGAGATTTGTGTGCTGCTCAGCTGTCTCTCATCTCATCATCTGTTTTGTAGGTTCTGCTCAAACACGAGTCTTTGAAATGAATTTACTTGTACGACCACCTCCTTTTTCTTTCACCTTTCTAAATGTTAAGAAGATTGAAGGAAATATTCAGCAAATACTGAAATGATGTAATTAATCCCAAGGGGTGGACAACACAATGCAGACTCATTACAGTAATTACTTAACTCACTTTTGCAAAACACAGTGACAAAGATGAGTCATATTATTTGGCTTAGTATGAGACAATGGGTCTCTGGGCACAGACGTGCACCCCCTACATCAGAGCCAGATTCCAGGAGATGTCTTCCTGTCATATTACGTGTTTTTGTGGCTGTTATATGGTGATTTTGTCTCTTTATAGTTTGATTCCCACAAAAAATGTTAATTGATGAGTTTATGAAATACTAGTAAACAGTAGCTAACATCACAGTATCCTAAAGTGCAGGGTGATGTAATCAAACATACTGCTTTGACTGACCAACATTACAGACCCCCCCCCAAATATTCAATTTACTATAAAGTCAGATGAAGAAAAGCAACAAATTCTCACATTTGAGAAGCTGGAAACAGAGAACAGTTGGTCTTTCTGATCGATCAATTTACCAGTCTTTGCAACTCTAAGTGTGTGTACGTATGTGTTTATGTGTGTGTGCGTGGCTAAATACAGGTTTGTCTTTGTGTATGATGCCCGGCCTGTGACTGTGCCACTGTGGCGGAAAAATTATGTCAGACTGTAACAGCTGTTGAGTCAGAAACACACCGCTATCAACATTCCAGCTGGGAATACTCAGCCCGTCATAGCCCCTTGCTTTTCTGTCATTGCCAGCAGATGGAAAAACTTGGCATTATGATAAGAACTTTACAACCTGAGCTTATTTACAGACACACTTTTTTTCCACTACACTATCAACAACATCCCAGAGTCCTTGTCTTTTTTACATTAGCTTAACACGGCTATCCTTGGTAAGAGGTTTGTGTGTTTGTGTGTGTAGGGCAGTTGAGTCCAGCATGACCCCTTGGCATTCCAGCAGAGTGGCATAATCAAGGCCATATCGATTTCCCAGGCCCGGAAATAGGCCTACAAGCATCGGAAATCTCCATCCTGGAGCACTCTCAGTCTGATGCTTGTCGTTTCACAAATGTATGGAAAATAGTTGCCATGTGACGCCCCAATCAATCCCTGTCAAGGCGCCTAACAGCAACACTGTCAGTGGGCCAAATGGGTCAGTCCACGATAGGTGAAAGATTGTGGCTGTTGACTGATGGGCCACAAGAGGCCATGGGACGGGGTCATCCCACGGGCTACTGCTGCTACTGGTAATATTGTTGTGCTGCTTGACCCGTGTCCTGACCTGATATGAGGCCTTTTTCAGTATGCTGCTCACAGCTCCTAATCCCAAAGCTTACTTTCACTGTGATGGCTGTCCTCAGGTGTCATGACCACACAGTGAGAGCACTAATCCTGGTATCTTCTGTATTTATTTTTACACCAGCTGTAAAATTAATTGTTGAGTCAACTGTTGGACCTCAAGCAAGAACATATTCTTTCCAGTCAAGTCAGGTGTTCCATAAGATAAGTACAGTTTACTGCAATAGCAATGTTAATATGCCAGGATGACGCTTCATTATTTTATTTAATTGTGTCACTAAATTTAACACAATCAATCTTATATTAAGTGTCTGAATCTGTTTGTCTCCTGTTTGTCTTTCAGTATCGGATTGGCCAACTGTATATGATCAGTAAACACAGTCATGAACAGAGTGAACGTGGGGAGGGGGTGGAGGTGGTCCAGAATGAGCCGTACGAGGACCCCGAGCACGGATCAGGCCAGTTCACCGAGAAACGAATCTATCTCAACAAGTGAGTGTCCTTCTCTTGCCATAATGTATAAATGTGTGTTTTTTATAATACTCAGTTGATCCCCAAAGGCGAATCCTATCGCCATAGAAACATCCACATATTCTGCTGTAGACTTTATATTTCATCTCACACTAAAAATGCTCAGCTCATTAGGCTGCTGCTGATAAAGGCAACATGAGAAATGTGACAAAGAAATGATGACATCTTATCATGACTGTCACTGATCCTTGCCGCAGTCCTGCTGTTAACACACACTGGTTAGACATCTAATGATGCATTCACGCCAACATCTCTAGGCTGTCTTATTAAAATAAATAGCTACTGAAAGTAAAAATACTTTCCTGTTGCTAAAAATAGTTACATATTGCTTAAGTTATGATCATATATTAGTAAATACCAGAGGTTATAAGGCTTTGCAAGCTGCACTAAGCTTTGCTGTTGTGTTTCAGGATTGAGGGTAGTGAAAACCACAAAGGCTGATCCCAAGCCTGTTTTCTTGCTGATAGCTGTTAAACTGGATAAGCATGAAAATGAGTATTTAATGTTCTGCCATGCAGCTTACAATTGAATTAGGCGCTGAGTACAGTCTGATGGTGGACTACTCATCATACACTTGCAGATTTGTTTCTGTGTAGCGTTACAGCAACATTATGTAGCTTTGTACTAAATATTCACTGAGTGCACTGATGAGGTAAATCCAGATGGAAACTTGACTCAGCAACTCAATGATTTCCCCAAGGCAGAGGTAATGTTTTTACCAGTGTTTGATTGTTGGTTGGTTTGTTTGAAGTGCTGAATGGATTTGGATGAATTTTGGAGAGGTAGGGTGTGGCCCACGGAACAATCCATTAGATTTTGGTGCTGATCTGTAGTGCGGGGCGGAAATATCAAGTGTAGCAGGAGGAATATTGGAAAACGGACTGCAGCTATATGATGGAACTTGTCTATGAAGGACTATAAGTACACATTGTTATTGCAGTCTGCTTTTCTTGAACAACTTTCATAATCATAATAATATCACCATCGTTCCAAATGCTTTGGGTAGGTTTTCATGGACAATGAATCATATTATGAGTGGCAAACTAACTTGGGAATATTGCTTTTAGGTGTAATGGCATTATGGGGAAACCGAGCTGCCTTAGCAGAGGTTTGCACGCTCTGAGCGCTGTCTAGTTAGACCTATAATGATTGCAAATGATGAAAAGATGTAGACAAACAGAATGGAAGATATGTAGAAGAATATTAATATTTGGAGACGAGTGAAATTTTTAAAGAGAAGCCTTCAGGTTAATATCAGGAATGCATTGCAAATATTTTATATGCTCATTGGCCATTTTATCAGGTGCACTTGTGTCACCTGTATAATTTAACACCTTTATGATGGTATCAACAAGCATCATAAAAGTAGAGATGATTGTATTGCATTACATTAGACCTGTACCTAATAAAGTGGACACTGAGTGTATTGTATCTAAATATCATCTGCAGATTTCAGCATCATAAAGAACTTAAATGTTTTGCCCGGTTTCTCTTTCCCAGCTGCAATTTGTTTTTATCTTAGCTGTTTTTATACATTAATCAGTGCATGGCTTAGTGCTAGAGCAATACTTCAGTCCTTGGCCAGTCATATATTCTAGGTCTATCATCACCTGGTTCAATAAATTCACACAAGCCAACACTTGGCAGGAGCACAAATCCATATCTACATCCATCAGTATAGCCAACCCCTGCCAAAGTGAAGTAATTTCAAAATATTGATTTCCATAGAGAAATCAGAGCATAGAGTCGGTGGCAAGCGAGAAGCACAGTAGAGCTAGTATGAGTAAAAGGTTCACATATTTCATTTATATTACACCAAAATATATGATCGTACAGTAGCTGCTTGCTAACTTTGCAGTCGTTACATTTGGGACAACCAGTGCAGGCCTCCTACATCTTTCCAAATAAATACAAATGCATATTTCATTGTTTTTCTAAGGTGATGACTGCAACGTTAGCATGACCCAGAGAGTGACAACTATCACATTTATGGGAAATACATCAAGTTCAAAAGAGGATGAATCAGATGAAACTATGACAGAAAACCTAAAATACCTATTTAGCAGACCTATTTACCTATTTTTAACTAACTATCTAAACAGCTTAATTACTAACCTATTAACCTATTATTTACCTTTTTAACCTATTTATTTAAAATCCTAAAACCTATTTAGCAGTTCTACACATGATTCTCTGTCATCTTGTTTATATTTGTTGTCTTGCAGTATTTCAGCACCAGTTCATTGTCTTGTCATCTTTAAGTTGACTGAAAGTTGATTACATCAGCACTGAGCAGAATAAAATAGCTCATTCCCAAAAGTACAACAATGAGACAAAAGGAGACTCACAAGGAGAATCACAGTGAGAGGTGGAGAGTATGATTTCTGTGGTCAGAAGTGACAAGTAAGTGGGCCTTTGGGAAATATAAAGTGTCACTGACCAACTCAGAAGAGAGGAAGATTTTTGCTTTTAGGTTGTGTGTGTGTGTGTATGTGTGTGTGTGTGTGTGTGTGTGGGCAGAGAAAGATGAGGTCAGTGTAAGTGATGGATAATTTGAGCAGCCACTGTTAGGCATCCCGCTCGCCTCTCTCCACCCACTAACCACCTGTTATCATGTTAAAACTGCGGTCTGTGCATGTGTGTGTGGCTTGTAGTTAAGTCAGTGTGAGGACATGGGGCCAGTCTGCTGTGACTGGAAACTCCTCTGACTTTTTGACAGTCTAATAGAGAGAGACTAGAGAGCACTGTCTGTCTTATGTCCCAGTGGCCCATGCAGACACTCCGTGACAAACCAGTTTAATCTCCACATTCAATAACAGCCTCTCGAAACAGAATGAAAAGGGAAGAGGTTAGCAGTGTGGGAGTTCAGTCAGGGGGTGATTTAAAAGTCACTTATCCAGAAAATGCGAATTCTTAAAACTTAACGACGGCCTTGTGTTCAGTCATTTTGCCATTTGCTGATATTTAGTCATGGAAAATCTCATCTCAGTAATGATACAGTCTGCACTGACTTTTTTCAACATCTATTGGCAATCAGGACTTACAGTTTCGCTGTTAAACCTGTCAAAATCGTGAAATCAGGTCTGCTCTATCCACCTGTGAATTCATGCATTTCTCAAATGTGTGGCTCAGCAATTTGCCTACAGCTGAACCAGGTTTCGTCCCCTCGCTCAGTAACCACTGATTGGACGCCCAACAAGGTGCTCGGCTACTGGGCTGCGACTGTCAGCGTTGAGAATCCGTTTGTGTTGAGTAATAGCTAGTTCTCTGTGCTTTCCTCCCTACGTGTCCCTCACTGTATCGATGCAAGCTGTGGTGAAACTGCAGGTTGCAGGGTGTAATCATCTTCCCCAGGGGTGCTTTGTATGGCCTCCACTGCAGCTGCACACAGCTGGACATTTATCATTGCATGATAGGGCCAAGGAAAACTTAGCAGAGGTCTACTGTAATAGTACAGCACAAAAGCTCTTCATACTATCTGTCCTCTAACTTTTCTGCCTTTTCTAAATTCTTGTCCTTCAGTTCACTAATCCTCCCACTCTTCTTTTTCTCTGCTTTAGCAAGCTGCCCAGTTGGGCCAGAGCAGTGGTCCCTAAGATCTTCTATGTTACAGAGAAGGCTTGGAACTATTACCCATACACTATAACAGGTAATCCTTTAAATATACATCTGCAGTATACACTTAAAAGTACACTTAAAATGTGTCCAGCTATAATTATCTACAGTGCATTATATTATTTAACAACTGTCCATCCATCCATCCATTATCTATACCATTTAAAAAAAAAGGCCACACACACTCACTCACTCCTAAGTTTGGAGTCACTAATCAACCTAAGATGCATGTCTGTGGTCTGTCCAACAACTTTTTAAAGTGTAACAAAGGCAGAAATGCTTTAAAACCTACAAAAATACGGACAGGTGATAAAACTATGAACAGTCTGCAGATATGACATGACCTTACTGTTATGTTGAGCTCTGCAGCACGAAGAAAAACATGGTAGTAGCTGCACAGGGATATGAAGATCTGTATGTACGGTATGTCCATGTGACAAACATACCCTCAGTAGGACTATGCTTAGCAAAACGATCAGTGTCACACTAGACTCCTGTCATGTGGTGATGAAGTACTACTGCTGAGGCTTAATGGTTATTTTTCCATGTTGAACTTAATGATTTTCTTCTCTTCTATTCTCTTCTTATCTCTTTCATGCTGTTTCATTTCTTTGTTGTCTTCTACTGGTTGCCCCCCCCCCCTCACACGACCACCATTTCTGTTATACTGATGGCCTCTGTTGGGAATTTGGACAGAGTACACGGTGAGTAGTTTACATGTGTTGGCACTCGTGCACATACAAACACAAAACACTCTGATACAGCTCAAATGTGAAAGGTAAGAGTGGCTGCACTTCGTGAAGGCTGCTGGCACCGGATGGCAATAACGTGATAAGAAACGTCACTTTCAAAAGGTACTCGCTAGAAGACAGTAGTAATCAGCAGCCTAAGTCATGGTGACAGCAAGGGGGAAGCATGAGGTGTCCCTATGCCAGGAATAATATGTACTGTAATTCCTTCAGTGTGTTGTTTGTCTGCCCTTCACCTCCCAGTTCCCTGTAATACCTCTCCAGGACAGGGTCCAGGACAAATCCTGATCAGAATGCTGATCAACTGCCTGTTTTTTATGCAGTGAAGCACTTTTTTTGTACACCGAGATCCTTCCAGGTATCTGAGCTCCCTGCCATTTGCCTAAGAGTAAACCCAGACACCCCGTAAAGAAAACCCATTCTGGCTGCTTGTGTATCAAATTAGAGGTGAAACCATTAGTCGCTTGAAAAAATAATCACCATTTATTTTGATAATTGATTCATTGTTAATTTTTATAGGAAAAATCTTTTGATATTTCTTTTAAGAGCTTCACCTTCAGGCCCAGATATCTCCATATATTACAGTTAAAACCTGCCATCTTTGCTGCACCAGTCCACCTGTCTGTACCAGCTAAATCAAAGAAATCTTGTATTGAAGACATTAGCAAACCCCACAGCTCTCAGCGATATGACGCACTAAGCACTAATGATTTGCTCTGGGACATCAGCGGGGCATTGGCCTTCCCACCGCATGTCTAAGGCAGGAAGAAAACATCAGTGAAGCACAAATAAAATCCGCAGCAGCCTCAGGCTAATCTTTTCCCATGAGACTTTACAAATACATGGAACATCTGGATGTTTGAGGAGGGTTATGCCAGCCAATGGAAAAGTGAATGAGGAATTTTTTTCCTACTTAAGAACCTGAAGAATATGACTTGGAAAAATATCCTGTGTGTTTATAAATCAGCTCACCGCATTCTCAAATCAGGCATCATGATTTCCCAAACTGCATCACACGCTTACAGTGGAAGAAATACTCCGATCGTTTACTTAAATAAAAGTAGCAATAAGTAAAGTATAGTAAAGGTACAAAAGTATGAACATAGAATTTACTTAAAGTACCTAAAGTAAAAGTATTCATTATGCAAAATGGCACAGTTTACATTGATATTTGATTATAATTGTCGATATATTATTGTATCCATCATATTTAATGCTGCAGCTGGTAAAGGTAGAGCAAATTTTAACAACCTTATATCCTTATAATTTAAATTACTGCTAGATAGCTTATGAATGTTACACCAAGGGTCAATAAATCTTGTGATCAAATAAATGTAGTGAGTACAGAGTATAATATTTTTCTCTGACATGTAGTGAAGTTGAAACATGAAGTAGCAGAAAATAAATATACTCAAAGTAGAGAAATCTCAAAATTGAACTCTATGTGCAAATGTACTTGGTTATTTTCCACCTCTGCACACTTGGGAATGTTTTGCTATGATTAGACTGAGGTGGGTGTTGATTATGCAGAATATGAGGACAATGACTGGGAGTGGCAATGACAGTAATTGTGTTATTTAAATAGGTAGTCGTGTCACAAAGTCATGTTGTTCCAGGATGAAGGTTAATGTACTTGTCTTCTCTGTCACATGCAAATGTCCTATACACACACTTTTCTTGTTGTCTCCTTCTAACAAGGCTGGTAAGCTTCACTAGGTGGCATTGTCTTATTGCACCATGGGCAGTAATTACAGTAACAATCCACACAAACACACACCTGTGCATTCACCACAACCTCCTAGCATCAACCCCTAAAACTTATTCTGTCCCGTGGTGCAAAGTGAAATGGTTTCTGTGTTGTGTTGTCTCTGTCCTGCTGTGCCACACATAAACACACACACACACACACACCAGCTTATACATCAACCACTTATGCAGCTTGTATTTAACTGTTTTGTTGTATTGGAAGTGTTAAGCTTTAATGTAATCAAACTGTTGTGTTTAAGAGTAAATGAGCAGCAGTCAGCATAGCCAGAGGCAGTGTGTGTGTGTGTGTAGATGGGAGGAGTAAGGCAGCATGTGCGGTGTCGTTGTAAATCTGCACACTGACAGAATAATCATTACCGCTCATCAGGTTTGAATGATAAAGCACAGACACGGAGACACATAATTAGTCTCATATGTTATCCCATGGATCAGCCGACAGAAATCTTCTCCTTGTGTGGTGTGATGTGATCTGGGCCAAACTTACATTAGGCTATGCACTTATCATCGTGCATATCAATTTCTCACTGTCCGGCCTTTTGTCCCCCTGCAGTGCTCCTTCCTGCCTAAGTTTTCCATCCACATAGAGACCAAATATGAGGACAACAAAGGGAGCAATGATAATGTGAGTAGAGCTCAGAGCATCATGTGGTTGGGTGTGTTTTGTGTGGGTAGCTCTGAAAAGGTGATCTCAACAAACACGCTTCAGGTTTTTCTTGTTTAAACCTTTTATACAGTCTCCTCCTATACCTTCGCCAGTCCCCTGTTGCACATCTGCCCGTCTGTTTTATTGTCTAATTTGTTTTTTCTTCTCATATTCTCACCGATCTTTTTGCATCAAAGCCTCTAAATGAGAACTGGTTATTGCATCATTGTGCCATCATTTTGTTTTTAAGTCAAAGACATGAAGAGAATTAGTGGTTGTTCCAGCTGAAAGGTCAAATCTTTCAGTGACATAATTATATAGTCTTTAATTCTGTGTCACGCAGCTCACCTCTCCCCGTGCTATCCGATGCCTTTTCATTCAAATCACTAAAAAAGGAGATCATTATGGAAAGTTATGGCAGCGACCTACAGTTTGGGCAGATAAACATCAATGGTAAAGCACACAGGAATAATAAACAATCTCTCCAGCTGCCCTGGTTCTGTGACTATACCCCTATTAGCAATAAAAGTCACAGAGACCACAGAACCATTTACTGAGTTAAGTTCAATTTAATGACTTGAAAGTTTTGAAACATTATTCTAAAAAAAAAAACTGTAGGTAGAGCACAATTAAATAATGATTGCAGCAAAAAACAAAAACTGATGTTGATTTTATCGCACAGCAGCATGACACCAGTGTTGTGAGCTGTTTGCTTGCTTTCTATCTCCAGTTAATACTTTGATGAGCAGCAGAGGGAAGTCTGAAACATATACAACACAGACTCGGTCCGTTAAGTAGCTCACAACAAAAGGCCGCAGCTCCACTTAGTGGTGCATCAGGGGGTTGCAAACTCATTATGATGGTTTCACAGATGGTCATAATTTCACATTTCAAATTGGTCGTAACAAGTGGGGGTGTAAATGAATTCAATAGAAGCGTTCACTCCTTCCACTCATCGCCTTGAACATTTGTGCAGTCACAGCTCTTCTTTCTCTTTCCAGCCTCTGTTCTTCTCCCTCTATTTATAACCTCTTACTGGCCTTTCTTCCTTTTGCTACACCTGTATAAAGGTTTGAAATACTGTATGTAGGAAGGATGATCACCTCTCTCCATGGGCGGACAAGGCGTTCTGAAAGCAGCGGATAACTAGCTGACATTGCTTCACTGTTCCGGTGTGAGTCACGCAGGAAGAAATCACTGACCACACGGCGCGTGACTGATTGTGTGACTCACATTCATCCTCACAGTTTGTTTAGTGTATTGCCCGAGGGTAAAGCCAGAAGGAAGCCGGTGTGTCACTTTTAAAACTGTCAGGAAATAATCTTAGAGTCAAACCTTGTGACCCCTATAAACCTCTGACTTTCTCTGCAATATTTCATGATTTGTTTTTTCACTTTCACAGGGGAACTCACAGCACATCTTCCCAGAACATTTGTCAAAGTGTGGTATTGACTGAGTGTAGACTTGTTCCCTGTTTCTCAGATCTTTGGTGCTGAGCCCAAAGATGAGGAAACGGAAGTGTGTTTTGTGGACATCGCCTATGATGAGATCCCCGAACGCCACTACAAGGAGTTAGAGGTGAGGCAGGTCAAGTCGCTGGATGCACTGTGTGTGTGCAGAGGAGCACAGAATCAGTGAACACATGGACACATGGGAGAGAAAGAGGAATGAAAAGAGACTGGAAGCAGCAAGATTAGAGGAGTATGGCAATGAACAGAAGAACAAGGGGGGAGGACAAAAGTCACTAACTGAGAAATGAAGGAATGAGTTGTATTTTATTTGCTGATAAACAGAATAGTGTGTTATCTTTCTCTAGCAGTGCCAGCTCATTTTTGACCGCCAGCTGGCCGTAATCCCTCCTCTGAGTGATAGAAGGGAGGGAAATACATATTTATGTGTGGGGGAGGTGATGGACGCGAGTTGTGGGGATTTGACATTAGTATGTGTATGCCCGTCTATCATGGTGTGATGGTCATAAAAAGATGAGCTATTAATAATTAAGGGGGGGAGGGTCATGAGAGCAAAGCTGTGGTGTTAACACCCTTACTTGCATGCACGCACACGCACACCTCCCCCTGGGCTTTTTGGTCTCGTGCTTTTATCCATGCAGAGCTAAGAATAGCACAGAGATGCCTTCCAGAGCTAAAAGTGGATGTCACATGGCCAATGTAAATATCAGAGACTACTTGAATGAGCCAGTGTGATCAGACAGCTTGAACGCATCAGTGGGCTAATATGTGTGTGTTTTTGTTTGATGCACTGGACATCATCCCACTTTCCTAATTTTATATAAAAGACATGGGATAAATAAGAGACAAGGCAGTGTTTCAAGGATCTGATAGCAAGGTGTTCCTGAGGCACAGGTAGGCAGTCACTAGGTGAATCCCACTTCCCTTATATTATCATTCCTTGGTCCTTGCTCAATCTGGAAGTCGTTTGTGTCCACCACGATGAAGGACATTCTAAAACTCTTATTTCTGCTCTGAGGAGTGAAACCGAGGTGCAAAGACGCTGCTGGAAGAGCTACAACAGAGAAAACAGGAGTGCATCCTTTGTGGAAATCTGCTGGGGACTGACACTCCCCTCTACTGGTAATCAGTCTGTGAGTGGACGCTTCACATGAAGGATCAGAGGAAAGTCTCATGTCGGTTAAAACGCGTTTCCTTGGTTCCTCCCCCTTCGCAGTTTCTTCTTGCATCTTAAGTGGGCGGGACTAAGACGCAAGGAAAGTGAGGGAAACGTGGATGCAGTTAGGGGATTTGGGATTCACCTAATGTCTACAAATTCATTAAGTCATGCCAAAAGGCCTTTATTATAGTCAGTGAATGATGCTAAACAAGGCCAATGTGCATCACAAACAATCTGACAGAAAATTAAATTAAGTACAAGCTTCAATCCCACACCTGAGAATTTTCAAAACCATAATTGGCTCCCTCATTATACTCAATGTAGATGTAAGTCAAATAGAATTTAATATTTATATATTAAATTAAGGAGAAATTGAAATGATCAGAGCAAGCTGTCATTAGCATTGCTCATCTTTTCTCTCTCTCTGCCAAGAAACTTCGTGACATGTTTTATGCGCAGATGAATTCAACAGGCCTCTTCCACCTCCACTACAAGTGCTTTCCCAGCAGGGATGTGGAGAGTTGTGTATCGCCCCCACACACACTCTGTCACATTTGAGATGCATGACCCTAAGACTGCTGAGGATTAGAGCATAATTAGTCTAGAGGGAGCAGTGATTAATGGACACGAAGTTTGTGATTAGGGACACTCACTGTGCTACCTGGCTGTACTAGGCTTGTAATGAATGCAGGAGATCCTGTCCTGTAGGTGGGAAAGGAGAGATTAATGTGTGTTTGACTGTGTGAATTTTACTTCTGTTGTGGCCTGATAGGACCTGCGGTATTTTAAGTCAAAGAAGACAAACCGAGGCGTTCTGCAGGAAGGATGGATCGACACCCAAGACCCCATCATGTGCTCCTACAAACTGGTCACAGTCAAGTTTGAAGTGTGGGGCCTGCAAACACGTGTGGAGCAGTTTGTACACAAGGTCAGGAAAGAAAAGTTGTAACGCCTTCACAGAAACTTTTCAACCCTTATAGATTGGTGTCAGTGCCGGTTCCTGCTCTGTAGGGTGTAACAAACAACCTGTTGGCCATGAACCAAGTCGGCCTCCTACAGTATCTATCCTGTTCACATCCTACAGATCGCCTTGCACCTCCTCTCTTTACCTTGGCCGTAGAGTTTAATCTTCATATCTCCTGTTTCCCAAATTCATTTTGCCGAGCTCTCTGCTGTATCTGTCCCTGGGGTGAACTGTCCCCGTCCTCTCCTTGCCCGAGGCACAGACACACAAGCTGCGACATTACTCACATGGTACCACCATGAGTGAGTTATTAATCACGTTCCTCCAGGGGTGAACAGGGCATTTAAAATTTAACAATGTTTGGAAACTCTTTATGGCCTTCTGAATCATTTCATTCTGCTTCACATCCTCTTTCCTTGAACTTCTTCCCTGCCTCTGTCCATCGTTATCTTTCTTCTCTTGCAATCTTGCATCTTTTCTTCCTTTTCACCACTTTTTTTTCCTCATTCTGCTCAGGTGATCCGAGATATCCTGCTGTTAGGACACAGACAGGCCTTTGCCTGGGTGGATGAGTGGATTGGTAAGTGTGACTATTAGTGACAGCAGTGGCAGTGCTCATGACTCATTTCAAGATTCTAGTTTAACTTCTAGCCAGGAATACTATGAGGACACTAAATGTAACCAGTCAAACAAATACATACTGTATATACACAAAGAAGACGCAGTAGCCAGCTGAAACATAACCACATACAACATTAGAGGCAATCACAGACATCACTAAGTAGATTCAAAGTTAAAGGTTTAAGATCAGCTGGCAGGATGAGACAGTCACTTTTTAAAAACCCTTGTCATGTCCTTTCATGTACAAGGAATAGTTTGACATAACAGTCACTTTTTAAAAACCCTTGTCATTCATTTCATGTACAAGGAATAGTTTAGTCATTGACATGTATATGACGGACATGGCGTCATCACTTCCATCCATTATGCAAAAATTAAGCCAAAATATTGTGAATACGACAGCTGCCATCTTTCATTTTTGCAACCAGATTCTGCGCTACTGTATGTTGCTGTTGGCTGTTGTGTTTGGTACAGTAGCAGCACTCACAAGAGTCGAGCATCTTTGCAACGAATGAGCCTATCTATTTTCATCTTCTACCCTCTTGCGGTGCTGAAGCCACACAGACGAGTTTTCCATTTTTATGGAAAACGTCCTTGTTTTCAGCTGTATGCCCCATTTCACACCTCCGCTGTTTGATGATTCATTACACACCCCCTCCGAGCCATTATTATTCAGTTTGCTTCCCAGCCACTATGCTACAGGAGACCTATGATAAATGTTTTGACTGTTGGCTTTGTAAAAAACTGCTGCAATAACAGATGTACAGCTGGAGCCATGTGCTTACTCATTTGAGACTGTATTTACTCCTCTGCTAGGTGTTGGACTTGAACCACTGAGTATGAAGTGTTTGATAGTATCTAGTGCTCTGTTTGAAGAATCCCTGGGCACATTTTGATGGAAGTGTCGGAAAAATCAATGTAAACAAAGAGACTGGGTGTGTAAGTCGTTCATAGGGGTGTAAAGATAAACCAGTAGGAATCGGAAAATTGTTAAAAGAGTCAGATTTACAGCTGCATTGGTTGAAAACCACAGATTTGAACCAAATGAGTTTAAACAGTCTTATGGACCTCATAAACCAATCTCTGGCAAGTTTTCTGTTAGTTCTCATTGTGTTCTGCTCTAGTGTGTGTGTTGAGTAGCCTGTAGCAGGACTATCACCAGCCTCTCAAGCAGAAACATTACAAAGGCGACACCGTTTGGTGTGAGAGCAGTCAGCTTGAGGCAAGTAACAGCTAGTGCTGTTACCAGCTACTTTCAGAGCAGGGCAGCTGATAATTCCACATAGTTGGGTTGAAGTCAGTACTGAAGCTATAAGCTATTTCATTTGCAAGGACATGAGCCCGTGTTGTTGAAAATGTGGGATTTGGACAAATGACAGTGACTCTGAAGCTGAGTCAGCAGGATTTCAGTGAGAAATGCACTCCAGCTCTGTATGGTAAGGTGAAACAGCAGCTGGAGGTTTACTGCTCACTGGTGCCCATCGTTTACTACCGTTAGAAAGAGTAGACATCATGTTTCATCTCATATGATGAGCGGTAACCGGCCATGTCAACCTGCCCAGTGCTTGTTTGTTTGTTGTGTCTTGTTGCTTTTCTTCTTTTGTCTCTCCTCTATCCACTCACCCCAACCCGTCGAGGCAGAAGGATAATAATAATAATAATAGTAGTAGGGTGTAGACCTTACTGTGTAAAGTGTCCTGAGATGACTTTTGTTGTGATTTGGCGCAACACAAACAAAACTGAAAATTAAATTGAATCTAGTTGGCTTTTACTGTTTGAAATACAAAAATGCTTGGTGGAAACTAACTCTTTTTTAATTTTATACCCTAAACAGATACTTTAATGGGTGTATAGTCTTTCAGATATAACCTAAATCTAAATTGAATATCTGCTGAATCGAATCAGAATAGCTCTGAATCGTACTGTATCGTATCGTTAAACATTTTGCAGTATTGTTTTGTATGTAATCATGGACCACGTATCGAGATATGGATCAAATGAGAGGGATACGCAGCACTAGCAGTAGCACAAATATTTCAAAAGGGAGCTTCTCAGGTCAACAGAAGGTCAATATAAGATATTTTTAAGATTTTAATTTACTTAGAGAGTAGTTGCTGTATGTTGATACTTAACTTCATCAGTAAGTGTCAAAAATGTATTCAGGACCAAACAGGAAGTCCAGGTACCTTTGATGTCATACTTCTAGGGCCAGGCGATGAGGTAACTCCCCACCCCCACCAGCTGGGAATGAATGTTCTAGGACATCGTCTGACCTAAGAACTGACTTACAGACACTGACAGATGTCCATACTTAGCTTCTTTAGCATATCAATATACTGTATATATACACACATGTATATTCCTTTTTACTGCACTTCCCATCACTTTACATGGAACTGATATCTCAGTAATAAGACTAAGTCTAATTAATTAAAGTAACCTATAAGCATAGCCAGCCTTGACTAAACAACTATTTTCTTGTTAAGACACAGGATGATGTTTCACTGCCTTTTGAAGCTACTTTGTCACTTCCACAAACCCAACAGTGCTGTCTTTTTTCCCCAAATATGTCTGTCCACACAGACATGACCATGGAGGAAGTGAGAGAGTACGAGCGTGCCACACAGGAAGCCACCAACCTGAAGATCGGCACCTTCCCCCCTGCCATCTCCATCACCGAGACGCCGCTGCCATCCAGCAACCGCAGCGGCCCCAACAGTGCCCCGTCCACTCCCCTCTCCACCGAAGCCCCTGAGTTCCTGTCAGTCCCAAAGGAGCGTCCCAGGAAGAAGTCCGCTCCGGAGACGCTGACCCTGCCAGATCCGGGCCGCAGAGATTCAATCTTCAAACTACCCAGCTTTTTCTCCTGGAACTCCAGTCCGCAGCCTGAATGAGGGCGGGGCTGTGCCACTGGTGAACGCCCTCGACCTATGGATCACTGGAGGATGCCTGCCCAGCACACCCCACGAGGCCCCCCAACCAGCTGAAGTGAAGGAGACCTTTCACTGTCCTGGAGATCCCAGACCCCCTCAGCAGACTAGCCGGTGTTACAGCAAAGCTAATAGCTCTCAGACTGCATTTACAGGTATAGAAAGGCAGTCTGGCTTCCACAGCAAAAAGTCCTAGGAGGTGTAAAGGCATAGTGCCTCACATCGAGAGTCCAGAAGCAGCTGGAGGCTCCTCTTTCTTCTCTCCTCCTCAGAAAACAGCCATCAGCAGCATGCATCAGACAGTATGGAGTCCAATTAGCCCGACTGAGTGTAGCGTATATTCCTTAAAATGTTTGATTTCACAGAGCATCACCTTGTCTTTATTCAAGCTCAGGGTGTTTTGACAAAATATGTTGAGATTCAGTCACTGCACATAAACTTTACATGTACAGATTATTAGTATTTACTTTTAAACATCAGTCTGGCTTTGTTAATTGGAGCTTGTGGTTTGACATATTGTATTTATGTGGTTGGGACCTTTAGACAGCTTTTGAAGGCAGGTGTAGGGCGATTGTGTATTGTTGTATATAAAGTACAGTATGAACATTACGTAACCAGTGAAATGTCAGTATTTCTAATAGAATATCATATCCAGTGATGCTGCTGCTATGAAACTGCTTGTGTATTGTAAAGGGCAGGACTATCTTCAGGTCTATATCTCTGATTGTTTATTATAGTGGTTCTGTCAGCCATGACTTCTGTAATTGACGTGTGTAATTGCATGATTTTGACTGCATAATCTGGTTTTGAATCTCTGTGGACTTTGTTCTCTCAGCCTCACTTGTGTTTTTACAGACTGGTCATGTGATTTGTATGTTGCTTTGGTGCTTTTTTCCCCATTTCATTCAATGTTGATTGTTTCGGTAAATGGAAATAGATTAAATACCGTTGTATCCATAATCGTGTCACTTATTTAAATGGCCTTAAACATACAGGCTGCAAACAAGTGAACTCATAACTTAAGGTAGTTAAGTTAGTTATAGCAAAAATGCATAGAAAATATTTTTCGCAGCTTCACGGTAAACATGCCTGTTAAAATCAGACGCATGACTGGATGTTTGACCCGATTTAACCTCTTGCTAATACTGATCATCAATAAAACCAGTAAATCAAATGCACTAACACTGATGTTGTTATTTTCTTGTTACTGTTCTTTCATTTAGATCATGTAACTATACCAGATTTTATTTCAAATAACTTAATACATACCTTTGTTTTGTTTTGTTTTTTTTACCATTTCTGTGGTCGCTGTTATAATATTTTTGAAAAAATGGTAGGTACTAAAGTTAAGCCATAGAACTATGATGTTTTTTACAGTATAGTTGGTTCAGTCAGGAGTTTTGACTCCAGTTCCAGGTAATATGGGCTATAAAGCCAAGTCCAAGTCCTGCAATATGTACACCAACCCAAACATTCATAAGCCTCTTGTCAATAACAACATGGAAATCGGGCTTTATAAAAACTTTAATTTTAAACATAATGACCTGAACGTTAGTCTTAGACAGTCATGTCAGTATAACCACCTGAACAGCAGTGCATTTGACCTATACTGGTCTGTCGACACAACACTATAATACATATTATATGGTCATATTTTGGTCTTTGCACAATATTTATGAAGCATTTACTTTATATATTTTCATAAGTATTCCAAAATGAAAACTGCAACAAAAGGCAAAGTTATGACTTGTTTATAGAAGCCAGAGCTTCAAAGTTGCAAAGTTCAGTATGAACATAAAATGTTACTTACTGTATATCTTTTAAAATCAAACACCCATAAGCCTTAAAACCACAGGATAAAATATTCAACCAAGTTTATAAAAAGTGAAATGTTTCTACACCACAAGGTAGAGTGACACAAAAACAAATAAATAAAATGAGGTTGTCTTCCTATCCTTATACATAAACACAATAAAACCACCACCAATCTTTGACCCACATGGGACATTTGTTCAGTGCAAAGAACAAGGCATAAGTGTGTTTCCAATGTGCACGATTATACCAGTCACTTTTTTCCGTTCATTACCTTTCCTCCTGGTTTTCGATCGGGTCCTTTGTTTTCCGTCTCTGCTTGAGGTTACGCATGGCATTGAGGAAAAACTCATACCAAAAGAAGGTGAATCCTGTTGACAGCGCGGCCTTCACAAGGCTGGGGGAAAGGCCTTTGAAGAAGCCTCGAACACCCTCCTCTTCAGCGATTTGAACCATGCAGTCCACCAGGCCTTTATAATTCCGCACCTGCACATGAGAAAGAGGAGATAATACTTAACACATCAGACCTGAAATATGTGCTGCAAAAACGTGAAGCATGCTGCAGAAGAGCTCACCTGTCCGAAGTGAACTCTGGCTGCTCCGAAGCCCCCAACTTGCAGTCTCTTCTTGAAGAGGTCAAAGGGGTATGTGATTGTTTTGCTGATCATTCCGGCTCCACTGCCACAGACCAGGCTTCTCAGGTTTCCTTGAAAACAGAACATAAAGAGTACAGGACTTCAAGTTGTGAATACCACTTAAGTGTGCCTATGTAAATGGAATGTGCTTGTCATGTGCAGGAGCATGGCTTTGAACTCCACTGACCTCCTGAGTTTCCAGATTTGGGCTCAGGAGCCAACAGCTTCTTAAAGACATTGTAGAAGAAGAACTGCAGCCCAGCGTAAGGAAACACTGCCACCAGTGTTGGAGACAGGCCGCGGTAAAATGTCAGCACTCCCTCTGAGCAGTACATTGAAGACACAGCATGTCGCAGGTTCCTGTACACCTGACAAACAAAGCAGTAAATAACAATTCCTAAGGATATGATTAATTAAATTAACGCTACTTAGACCAGGATAAGTGACAGATAATGTGTGGACGGATTAACAATTAAAATTTCATTTTAGGTGTTGCTAAAACTGACACTTCCCACTAGGAGACAATTAGCTACCTAGCTACTGCAGCTGTCATAATACTCGCAAAAAAGTCTGCCCCTTGCAACGTAACACTTTTTATTACCTTCTTAGAGCTTTTTGAGGAAACCTTTCAAGACCTTTGGGTGGATTTTGATTCACAGATATTAAATTAGTCAGAAAAGGACAACCTTCTGTCCATCCATCACCCTGTTGGCTACAGAATGATTTACTGTTGGTGCAAGGGTGAAAATATAATTAGTCTTTGAACCACATTAACAAACTGGTTTTGGAAACATGGTTATTATAGGAAATGGGCATCCAAAGAGAGAGAAAGAGCTCAGGGAAACCAGTGTGTATTCATTTTCACAGTGGTTTGTAAACACTCATCTCTGCTTCTCCACCACCACAATTTCGCTGCACTTCTCTCTGAACAGGGACAACAGTTTTTTTTTTTTTCAATCAAATCAAACAAATATCTAAGACTGTAAGAAATTCTTGACTTCTATCAGACAACTTTCTGACAGCTGCAGCGTATCAGTGCTAGCATGTCCCACCTTTGGTTCTCCCTGAGCTGCAAAGCGTGTCCGCAGTGTGTCCAGAGGCTGGCAGACCATTGTAGCAGAGCAGGCAGCCAAGCCGCCACACACAAAGTGAACTCCAGCTGTCTGACTGTCATACGGTGTCGACTTGTGGACCATCTCTGTCAGAAACTCAAAAGTGGTAAACTGCAAAGCAGACACACAAAAGTAAATCTTGTAATTGTAATTGTGTTATTAAGATATTTCTGAGTATTTTATTGTTTTGTGTGAGCACCCAGTGTACATTTTACGGGCTCTACCTGGACAGCCCCAAAGCAGATGGAGAGGAGTTGTGCAGGAATGTGGCCCTTCCAGAAAGCAGTGAGCCCCTCCTCTGAATGAATGCAGCGAAAAGCTTGAACTATTCCCCTGTACTTCCCCTCCGGCCTCTGTGCCGACACTCGCTCAATCTGCAGCTGGGGGTAGAGAGACACTAATAAACATACAGGATTGTCAACATAGCATTAGACGTTTCTACAGTTACTACAGTTGTGTTGCAGCAAGCGTCAGTCAGTGTAAACCTAAACTCATTAATGCAATGCAAACACCATTAATGGCATATCTGACTGCATCATTTTCAATCCAACCATCGATGGTTATTCAGTTACTAAGACAGTTAGAGCATGAAAGCCAAATTTACAACTGACAAGAAATGAATGCTTTAGAACTACTGTAACACATAACTTTAGGTGTGGCACTGAATACAACTGCTTTCCAAATCTGAACATAACATAAACTGTAAAGAGTTGCTCTCTCCTCACAGTTACATCATTACCTGAAATCTGATTTTAACGACATCAAACGGGCTGATGAGAGCTCGGGTGACCATCCCAGCAGCTGACCCGGCCAGGGCTGCCTCCTCTGGGGTGAGAGCTGCAGTCTGAGAACGGGGGTCATAGCCCACCATGTCACCACACCCTTAGGCTCCTGTTAACACTGTACACAGAAATAATATTTTAATGTTAAAAACATTAAAGGAAATTTAGTTTCAAGATATGATGCACATATGTGCACAGAAAACAAAAGAATGGCCCTGAATCGTGTCTTACATTGCACTTATCTACTAGCCATAGCGTTCAGACTTGACAGCTGAGAGCTGTTATCCTTCCTTTGGCTATTCTGGTCCTTAACAGTCATCATTGCAAGTAAAGGTCCTGCATTTAAAATGTGTATTACATGTCCACAAGTATTAGCAAAAAATATTCTCATAGTGCAGAATGACCCCTTTGAGAATGTCATATTATTATATATTATATTACTAGATTATTATGACTTCTGTAGAATATGTTTTAATGTCCTAGCAGGTCAGATTAAAACTAACCTGAACTAGTGTGTATACTGCTGGGTCATTTAGTCAATGTCAATCCATCACATTTTATGACCTGATCATATTTTTTAGAAGTATCATCTTAATTTGCAAACTAACAGTTGCATAGCTATCAGATAAATGCAGTAGAGTACAAAGTAGAATAGCTGCCTATGAAATGTAGAAGTACAACATAGCAGTAAATAGAAAAACTCAAGTAAAGTAAATGTACAACAAATATTTAATAATTTATCTGAAGACAGGAGGAAGTAAGGAATTCTTAAATGATTTATAGCATTTGTGAAAATGTATAAGTTGAAATCTGGATCTAGCTTGTATTAATTGGTGGTCATTTATAAACCCATGCTGTGACGTACAGGTGACAAAGTATTAACAAGTTCAATCATACAGATGTTTTTTAAGTCTGTGCAGAGGTTTATGGCACATCTTCCCTTTTACATACTGTAGTTAAACAGTTAAATATAATATAATATAATACTTTGAAGAAAATCAAAGTAACTGTTACAACATGTCAAGGACAGGTAGCTGGAGCTAAGCTAACACAGCAGCTGATACTTTGCACGGAGGATCAGCGCTGCAGTGGAAACACAGGCGAACGAGCACTTACCTTGTGGTAAAAGTCTTTCATAAATACAACTACAGCTACTGAACTGGAGCCAGACAAATATAATCCAACAACATTACCATTACAAGTTTCTACTGCATGTTCTGAATTGCTGATATTACTTCCGGGTCATACACTTTACAAAGAAGAAGTATCGAAGCAAGATAAATCACTGCCGTGTAAGTTTGTTTCCAATATTTCGTGGGAAAAGGTATGATTACCCCACAAGTATATCAGTAATAAAATAAAAGAAATATCCTTCCAAATAACTCACTGCATACTGTTGATGAAGCTTGTGTGTTTTTCATATTAGACCATAAACGAATACTTGTTAAACAGTTGTAGATAGTTAAATATTTATTCGTTCGTGACGTTATTTTCGCGATCTTTGGGCGAGGTGATGAGAGGTAGGGTTTTATCTTGTCAGGATAGTGTGGCCTAGAAGGGTTGTGTCCAGTAACATCTGTTACATCTAGTTACCCATATCATTAAAGGAGTGGACGTATTCGGTAATAAACACACACTCAATTTTGGAGTAGGTGATTGCTATTTAGTAGCTTATTTGAGAAAAACTGTTTTGTTTTAATTAATTGTTGTTAACCCTGGGAACTCCAACATAGCAGGTGGCGGTAATGCGCCTTAACGGTCCTCGCCAGTCGCCATTTTAAAAGAAGAAGAACAACAACAACAACAAGAGGAACCAAAGTGGTTAGGATAAGGGTGATGTTAACGTTGGGTCAGGGAAATTTCCGCGAAATGTAAGTAGTGTTAAATAATTTGCTTCTACTTCTCAATGAACTCTGTGTGTTGCCGGTTGGCTAGGTTCTTTTGTTTGATGGGCGGCTGTAACATAAATGTAGGATAGGTATAAAACTTGTAGCGTCAATGTTAACGTTAGCGTAAGGTTCCTGTAGTTGAACAGAAGCACACAAACTAGCTCATTTCTAAGCACTAGCTAACTTATTAGTCTGTTGACAACAACACATCAGAACTCTGTTAACGTTACACTTGCGTTCGTTAAACCAGCAGTAAACCAAAATATTGTTATATAACAGAACGGTGTCCTCTCACTGACGCATTTTAGCTAACATATTGTTAAAACTACTACAAACATAAATAATCGTGTAACGTTTTCAGTTAACGTAACGGGATAAAATCCAAGTCTACCTTCTTACTTTTCTATCCATATATTGTGTTAGTCATTTATTTTAGGTTTGCTTTAGCTAGAGCTGATAAAAGAGTGCTAACGCATTAACGTTAACTTACTTGCAGTGGTTATGTGGCTAATAGAGTCGAATCTGAAATCTCTTTAAATAAAAGCATAATTTTGTGCATTGCTAAATGTTTATTTGGACTTTTCTTTGACTTGAGTTTTCCAGTGTAGGTCCTGCTATCCTTCAGTGAATGATCTGTTTGACAATACCGGATTTTGTGTTTCTTGTTGCCCCACAAATCGTCCTCTAGTCTTTGCCTGTGTTGCATTTTGTGCCCAGACCTGAAACAGAACCTTGTTTTCAGTGTGTAAATTTGTCATAGGTTTACCTATTCTAAAATGCAGTTATCTGTTACAGCTCTCACGTGTAATTTGGGTGCAACTATCTAAAATGGAACACTCTACAGAAGACTTCAGGATCCAGGCATTGGACAAGGACACACAGTTGTTGCTGAAAACAGCCTTGAAAGGTCAGTCTTCTTTATGCAGTAATGGCACTGTTTGCAGTTTTCTGCATACATTGGTCATGGAATATGATCCGATCTTCACCAAAGTCACAAATGCCACCAAACACAGTATTTCTAAGATGATATCATGACAAACCGTCATAATATTTCATGTCTTTAGTCCATTAAACTGTTATACCCCGGTTCTTTTACTGGACAGATCTGAGTAAATAAGGGGTCCGTCTTTCTTGATTTTAGTGCTGGTTTATTTACTATATATATATATGTGTGTGTGTAAAAAGGATTACAGAACACAACCCAGGGCTCCCTCCTCCAGACAAGCTGCTGGAGAAGAGAGCAGTGAAAAAAAGCACATGGAAACACAGAGCCTAATACATTTATCAGTTCTGGGCTAACCCCTTACACAGACAGCTGTAAAAACATCAGGAGCTGGAGACAGTCTGAAGTCTCCTTCTATTATCTAGAGCTCTGCATGCTTGGAGCAGCTGGACATAACAAAATGAAGAATTCCGTGTGTGTGTGTGTGTGTGTGTGTTGTATGCGTGATGTGTAACTAAACATTCATTCAGACATAATTCTTACACAAGATTAATACAAGAAAACAATCAGTGTCATGGCTTACTGCTAACCTTGAAGCAGAGCACACAGGAGCAGATTTTGAATCTTACTAAACTGCATTACTAACACATTAAAGTCTAATAATTATCTGACTAATTTATTAATTTCTAACAAAACATACAAATGGATGATGGGAAAAGTAATGGCAACACTAGGCTTCTTATGTCACTAAATATCAACTGGAGTCAGGTGTTAGCAAATCTGGAGTCCAGTCAATGAAACGAGAATGGAGACGTGGTTTAGAACTACCTTGACTTATAAAAACACTCAAACTGTTATTGTGCTATTCACAAGCAGCATATGAGCCATGCCTCACAAAAAAGAGACCTCACAAAGCCTATAATCAAAAGTTGTTGATTTGCATGAAGCTGAAAGGGTTACAGAGTCATCTCAAAGATGATCATCAGTCCACAGTTAGACATATTGTCTATAAATGGAGATGATCTGGTACTGTGGCTACTCTCCATAGACGTGGGTGCCCAGCCAAGATCACTCCAAAGGCACAACGCAGAATGGTCGATGAAGTAAAAAAAAGAACCCTAGAGTAACAGCTAAAGACTTGAAGGATTCATTGGAGTTGGTTAACATCTCTGTTTACAAGTCAACCATACACAAATTATTGAACAGGCATGGAATCCATGTCATTGCTCCCCAAAAACAACATTGTAGTATGCCTGAGGTTTGCCAGAAACCATCTTGATACTCCACAACACTACTGGGAAAAGGTCCTGTGGACAAATGAAACAAATGGTAGAACTGTATGGGATAAATACAGCACTACGTATGGCGTAAAAAGAGAACCACATACTAACATGAAAACATCATCTCAACAATGAAACACCCTACTGTATTACTGACCTAAAGGAGTTTGGCATTGCATCAGTGCTGCAACTGTCTCCAATGATTTGGCTTGTTGTTGAAACTTAAACAAGAAATAACCACTCTGCATCCACCATGATAATCATAAACATCTGAAACAGTCTTTTTCTAAATATGTTTTTCTTTCTTTCTTTTTTTTTTCCAGATCCCAGTTTAGTGAATCTGGAGAAGGTTTCCAACATCACATACTAACCACATACTAACATGAAAACATCATCTCAACAATGAAACACCCTACTGTATTACTGACCTAAAGGAGTTTGGCATTGCATCAGTGCTGCAACTGTCTCCAATGATTTGGCTTGTTGTTGAAACTTAAACAAGAAATAACCACTCTGCATCCACCATGATAATCATAAACATCTGAAACAGTCTTTTTCTAAATATGTTTTTCTTTCTTTCTTTTTTTTTTTCCAGATCCCAGTTTAGTGAATCTGGAGAAGGTTTCCAACATCATTGTGGACCAGTCTTTGAAGGACCAGGTGTTCAGCAAAGAGGCTGGACGTATTTGCTTCACCATTGCGCAGGTCCACACTGTTGACAGTTTGATGGGCTGGTTGCCCATCACCATTTAACTGCATTAATGTTTTTTTGTTTACAACAGTGGCACTGACTACAGCACTTAAAATCACTGAGGCAGAGATTTAATAAACTAGAAAGAGATTTAAACATCTGATTTAGCCTCTTTAACCAAGTCTTAATCCTCTTACCTTATCTTACTGACTGTACTAGCTTCCACTCGAGCAACAGGAGGCTCTTATGCCAGCTTGCCTACACCAGAGAGTTCCTGACTTTTTTGGTTCATACTTCACCTTGTTTTATTTGACCTGACTCTCTTGGTCATGTTCTGCAGGCTGAGGCCAAGCAGAGCAGTGGAAACGTGTTCAGGAGAAACCTGTTGAACCGACTCCAGCAGGAGTTCAAGGTCCGTGAGGAGACCAGGGGGCGCTCACTGCAAGAGTGGGTGTGCTATGTCACGTTCATCTGTAACATCTTCGACTACCTCAAAGTAAGACACAGTTTTCCCATGAAGGTGTTCAGCACTTCATCATGTCTTAATCATGAATGCAGAGCCACATTGTCAAATTATTCTACATTAAAGAATCTGCTAAATGACTTGAATTTATTTTCTGTTGCTCATTTTTCACTTGCATGAAAAAGAAATTGTAGTTAAGGACTTAATGTCGATGCAGTGATGGAAGTTTTAGTCCTTTTTTATTTGATTAAGAGTCAGTTGCTGTGTCTCTATGCATGTCTTGACACTTAGGTGAACAACATGCCGATGGTGGCCCTTGTCCATCCTGTGTATGACTGTCTGATGAGACTAGCTCATCCAGATGCTCTAAAGAATGAAGAAGAGGTGAGGAAGAGAATATGGTTATTTTTCTGTTATATCCATTTACTTGCTTAGATGCATATTTAGTTGTTTTTCTGTCAAGGAGTTTTTCTTTCTTTCAGATCCTAGTTTAGTGGAGAGGGTTTCTCATGATTAAGCTCATGTTTTGTTTTGTTTTGTTTTTGTTTTTTTGTTTTTTTTAAACACTTCTACAGTATATCATACATGGGAAATAGTATTTTTTTGCATTTGTGACTCTTCAGTCTTTACCTGGATAAATAATTGTAAGCAAATGATACTGATAATGATCTATGTTATGCATGTGGGGAACTTTGCCCCTTTTCAAAGCTACGATATGCAAGGTAGAAATCGAGCTAGTGTTGGTATGAAAGTCCATTATGCACAGCCCATCCTCTCGCCTCATCGTGTAGCTGTCTCAGACCCTTCTTACACAAAGGTTGTGGCAAACTGCTAATGATTTACCCTTCTTCAAGGCAGCTTTTTTGATTTAAGCACCTTTTACACTGAACTTAAAAAAAAAACAAAACAAAACAAAAATGCCGCCCCGTGTTCATTTTACACAGTTGCCACAATCCCACTATTAGAGATGTGATGCTTATGACATCTGACTGCTTTGTTCTTGATGCTGCTCCCTCTCCTTTTTCACTCTGTAGTGCTCTCTCTCTCTCTCTCACACACACACATACACCTTCATCCTCCTTTCCACCTTGTTGTGACAGTTTGTAGGGTCATCAGTGATTAACCCCCACCCCCCAAAAATGCCTGTATTATATGTTATATACCAGTGGTCCCCAACCCCCGGGCCGCGGACCGGTACCGGTCCGTGGATCAATTGGTACCGGGCCGCACAAGAAATCATTAATTATTTCCGTTTTATTTATTATCTGAGTCTGAACGATCTTTTATTTTGAAAAATGACCGCATTCTCTCGGTTACATCTCGGTCACTTGAGCGCCAAAACTGGCTTACTTGTGGACATATTCAGCCTGCTCAATGAACTCAATCTGTCACTTCAGGGGAAAATGACAACTGTCTTCAAGTTGGCAGATAAAGTAGCTGCATTTAAAGCCAAACTGGATTTGTGGGGACGGCGCGTCAACAGAGGCATTTTGGACATGTTTCAAACATTAGCGGGGATTTGGGGTGACACTGAGCCTGAGTCTTCATTCTCCCAGCTGGTGCACGATCACATGTCTTTGCTTTTAAAAGAGTTCGAGCGCTACTTCCCAACCACAAAGGACCCACGAACTGCCAAGGAAGGGATCCGCAACCCATTTGTCAACAAACCAGGTGAATCCAGCAGGTCTGTGCAAGAAGAAGATCAACTGCTGGAGATCGCAAATGATCTTAAAAGTATGTTCGAGACAACAACTCTGTCGGTGTTCTGGATTAAAGTCATGACAGAATACCCTGAGATCGCCACCACAGCACTGAAAACCCTGTTGCCATTTCCGACATCCTATCTGTGTGAAGCGGGTTTTTCTGCAGTGACAGCAACCAAAACAAAACAACGGAGTAGACTGAACATAAGCAACACACTTCGGGTGTCATTGTCCCCTGTTACCCCCACATGGGACCGTCTCGTTGCAGAGAAACAAGCTCAGGGCTCCCATTGATTTAG